TTTAACACACACACACACACACACACACAAACAAACTTTTGAAGCTTTTAAGTTTTAGTGTTTCATTTTCCGCTGAAGAATGTCATTCTCTGCAGAATTTTTAGAACCTCCTAGCTATGTCATGTTAAGTGGGGGTACAGGACGATTCTTGATTTTTGTTTTTGTTTTGTCTATCAATTCAACTATCATTTTCTATTTTTTTCCTTTTATTTTGTCCAAAAGGGGCATGGCCTGCTGAACTCTGGGTTAACGTTTTCCAGGATTTTGAGTGTGTTAGTAATTTTTGAGATAATTATGGGCACTAGATAGGTTTACGTGCGTTGCATGTATAGTTTTGTGGTTTACATAGTTGCACTTTTTCTATAAATTTGCAACGTTTTACGGTATATGGATAAAAGGAAAAGTAATGGTTGAGTATTTCATCAGCATAATACAAACCGGACTTAATTTCTTGATTAACAAAAGGAAAAGTAATGATGGTTGGGTATTTCATCAGCATAGCACAAACCGGACTTAATTTCTTGATTAACAATATGGGCTTAATTTCTTAATTAGGGACATGCTTATCAAACTTTAGTACTTTACTCCAAATGATGTGAAAGAGAAAATAAATAGAGTTGTATGCCTGAATATGATGTTGAAATTTTTCTGACTGGGAAATAATTAAACAAATCAAGTAATTCTTTAAAGAAATGTATTTACTTTATCTCTCATAATATATCCATATTTACAAAATTGATTGAAATTGATTGAAACCATACATAGGTTTTGCAATTCATACCATATATGAGGTAGGATTTCTAATTGCCAAAAGTATGCAAGCCATGAATGATAGTAGGATATCAATTAGCAGCAATTACAACGATATTTTTGGCACGTTTTTTTTTTCTAGCCGTATCTCAAAGAAACTATAATTTGAAAACAATATGATGAAAATTACTTGAAATTGCAAATATCACTTGGCTCTACTAACTTGATCAAGACTTATTGGAAATGAGTACACGAGTTCAATTTCACCCATGTTTCATTTGGAAATAGTAAATAAAAACTATTCAATTAAATACAAACTGAATGAGATCTTGAAGTCCAATACAAACCGATAAGTTACTAACCATTTGAGGTATAGACCTTAATTCAAGGATGTTAATCAATCTAGATATCTTATTCTATCGTCTGTGAACTGATAGTTGCATCCAAAGTGGCTACAATCTCCGACCTCACCCACCTACATCTTTTTAATTTTTGAGTAATTTCGCATTTGCTTAAGTAATATTAGTAAGATTTGAAGATGACATGATTTTTTTTCATATGTTTGTCAGAACTTTTTAGATATAATTAAACTGTGTTATGCAATTAATTTGGAATGAACTTACTATTTCATGTTGTCAATTTTATCTGCGAGATATCGAGCTCTTAACTATTTGATAACTTCTTTGCACCTTGGTGGTTTTTTTAACTGAATTTTATGTTTAGAATTTTTGAGTAAGCACTAACATAAAATTCAACTTAACAACAACAAATGCATAAATGCAATGAGATAATAGAAAATCCATATTATATGGCCATTTATAGGCTGATTGATCCTTGCTAGTACTAATCTACTAACTAATTGCATAAGCATCATAACTAACACTCTAAGGGTTTGTTTGATAACATAAAAAAGTGCTGAATCTGAACTTTTTCAGACATTCAGATGTTTTGAGTATTTGATAAATGAAAATCCATTTGCTGAACTTGTTAAGTAGCGCTAAACTTGTGTGTATTTTTTTCAGCACAAGAATCCTAACTGGATGCTTAATTCTGATAAAAATCAATAGAACATTTTCTATTTCTTGTGTGTATTTTCTATTTCTTTTTTCTCCCTTTTGAATGACTTTCACTTATTCTCTATACTTCTCATATAACATAATTCATCTTTTATATTAATTTGATTTAAAAATAAATATTGTCATTTTCATACCTAACGTTTTTAGCTAATTAAATCATAGGTTCTATTTTTTTTTTTTGGATGAAAAGATACAAGGGCAAAATTATCAAATTTAACTTATTAAGCATTCAGTTATTAATGTTTATCAAACAGTATAAATATGTTTAACATTAAAATTCAGACATTCATAAATTTTTTTCAGTGCTTAAAATTCAGCAAATTAATTATTTCAGTATTCAGATTTCAGAATTCAGACTTCAAAATTCAAATTCAATTTTATCAAACGGAACCTAAGTTGGAAAATGGACCTACAATGTTTTTTATTGTGTATACTATTGCTGCACGAATCATTTTACCATAGTAAGACATGAAAATTAGAGTCAAATAGCGCCTTGGGGTGCGAGTCTTGGTGTCAAGATATCTTTTTTCTTTAATTGAACTTATGCATTACAACGAAATAGTAATCATTATCAAATCATTAACAAAATAAACACCATTGATCTCACAGTAAACATAGATTAATACCTTCAATACACCTCTCTCGTGCAGACATCGTCTACTAAGAAAATCACCAAACTTCACTCTTATCATATTTTTATCTAAGCTTAACATCCCAAATTTATGTTCATTAAAAATTTTCTATCTCATATGGTAAAATGGGATGTAAAATTGTCACAACAAAAAAGGAAATAGTTCTTTTGCATGGCAAAATGGGACCTAAATGAGTTTGACGTATCTAAATGAATAACACCATAGATTGACAATATAATCATCATCAGGAAATTTAAAAAACAAACATATCCAATTTGACGTATCTAAATGAATAACACCATAGATTGACAATACAATCATCATCAGGAAATTTAAAAAACAAACACATCCAATTTAGACAGAAAAATTTGATCTTTATTGAACAATCATCATCGAATAACACAACACAATTAACCAAAAAAAAGTGAAAACCCCAAAATAGAATATGAAAAAAGTAAAAAAAAAAAATCAATAAAAAATTAAAAATAAATGGAAATGAAGGTAAAAAAATATAGATATGGATAATTAGCTCACGTGAAGGTGATGAGAGCCTGAAAATCATGATGATTTAGCAATCGGACATTGATTTCCGAATTACATTTAAAAAAAAAGATAAAAAGAAAATATATTATGTAGCCTTTACAATTCCAACTATCAATTACCTTATTTCTATTTACACCTTAAGATTTCATGAAATCACTGTTTACAAAGGTTTGTAATTTGCATGTACGCATCATTAATTTTGATAGTTGCAATAATCAGGGTGTTAGATGTATATATTAGTACTAACCATTGTCCTTTCTTATTAACTTCTTGAAAAACATACAAACATACAAATTAAAAGACTACTTATAAATTAAGAAGCTACTTACCGAGCATATGAGTAAGAATTATGTACAAATTAAAAATAGAAATAAAAGGAGGAGGAGACTAATAAAGTTTAAATTTTAGCCAAATTGTGAACTTCAGTATTGTTTTAATTGCCCATGATACTCAATTTTACCCTCAAGTTAACATTCATATAATTTTGGGTATATTAGATACATCAAAAAAGTAATAAACGCCCGTCGGCAAATCATTCAAAGGTAATTTTATATAATGGTATAGATAACGATAATAGATATATGGATATTCTGATTCTCAATGAGCCTCAAGAGTGAATGGATGAAGGGCACATTCCTGATATTTGAGTGTACATGTTAATACAAGTGCCATTATGAAGGGCACCATTCTGCCCCGAATACTACTCATCTCCGGTAAACAATGAGGCAAGGAACCATACACTTATGTAGGACACTATACAGATGCTGAAAAATGCACTGCAAAAGGTAATTGATCATCAAGAGTTCGCGGTCTTTTCGCAGCTTCCATTTTCGGATTTCTTGACCTCTCCTTGGCATTGATCACATCCTCCCAAGCTCTTGGCACGATTCTCCGAGCTGGCTGACCGCTGCTGCAGTTGTTGCTCTCCCATGGAAAGGATTCTCTGCATCGCTTCCGCTAGGCTTTTCACTTTCTTTCTGTCATTAATCTCATCCGCCGGTTGATGATTTCTATTCTTGTAGCTGCTCTCAGTTTTGCTGCCTTCAGATGGCCAAAAATTTGACTCCTCATCTTGCCTTGCGTTCAATTTATAGAGCCTTCTGTACTTCATAACTCCACTGCAAGTTCTACAGTTCGCTTGATCATGCACCAAGTCCACCCGCCTTTTTATACTGGCAAGCATTCACTTGATCGTGCAAAAGAGTCAAAAAGGACAGTGGAAATGACAAGAAAACTGAGAGGATAGGATATTAGATTGGTAGTTGTACCTTTCTTTCACAGCTCAATCTGTCACGACATCTTGATGGCAAAATTGTTGGTTTTTCTAGTTTAACAAATAATTAGCCGAAAGCGGCTTTATCATACGGCTCTTTGCTATTTCCTTTACCTTATTTGGCCACCTAACTGTAAGTCTGTAACTACGCAAGCCAGCCTAGTGTCTGCGATTTCCACTATTTCCACTTATAGTTTGCTTGAAAGGGTATCATCAGGAGTTGGCCAGGTACAGTCATTCGCAAGCTCTAGTTAAGATTGCCCAATATCTTAAATGGTACGAATTTTTGAGTCAAAATTCCCTCATGTTCGTACACGCTAACTCACTAAGTGATGTACGAGTCCTACTACGTAGATTTTAAGATCATTTTTCACTACCTACACACGTCATATAATTAGTGATATAATTAGAGGATTAATCTTTTCTACATTATCAATGTAATAAAACTTTTTTCCACTAACAAGTGTACATCAAAACATGATATTTATTAAATTTCAAAATTTTCTTTTCCCACACGTGGCATGCGCTCAAGTCTCCTTGTGTGAAAAAATTCCCATAGATGTATGAAAAATTAGTCGTTAATAGAATCAAAAAGGACAATTCCATTTAGGCCAAAGTATTTTTGGGCCTCCATTTAGGCTCAAAAGTTTGTAGTTTACCGAACACAAGCCCATCTGCAGTCTGACTGAACTGGCGGGTGAAATGAGTGAATAGATGAAGTGCCCAAGACCCAAAAACTAGTGACGAACTGATTTAAGAGCTTTTGCCGGCTCAAGAGGAAAATCAAGAATCCTTGAAAGTGAAACAAATTGTAGAAAAACTTCGCCAGACTAGTAACTCGAGGTAGAAGATTTTTCAGTTCTGTGATGAAAAATTGTTGTTGAGAGAAAAGGATAAAAATGGAACTGGAAAAGGGTGTTCAGAGATGGATTGTAGACATCTCAAAGTGGAATCCTTCTCCAGATTACTTCGCCTCTGTGATGTCATTTCTTCCCCAGCATGAGCATTCTCCTATAACCAGGTCAGTTCCCAAGATTTATTTTGAGGTGCCCTTTTCATATTTCATCAGTTTTGCACATGTTTTCTTTCAAATGAGCTGTTTGGAGTGTGTTTGTTGCAATTGTATCCACTTTTATGATCACCCAATAGATTAATTTAATCTAGGAATGGAGTTACTGCTTTTTCTTCTTTTTTTTTGGGGTGGTTAAATTAGCAAGTCATGTCAGCAATTTGTTTTTTGTGAGCAAGGACTGTGGAGATGGCTTAAAGAAATCTCAATTTACTTGATGGAATGATTTTTCTTAATTTAATAGGTTTGTGAAAATGGAAGACCGAAAAAGGGCGCTTGTAAGCAGGCTATTGCAGTACGCACTTGTGCATCAGGTGCTGGGTATTCCATACGATGAAATTATCATCAGGCGAACGGTTGAGGGTAAACCCTATTTGGTATGGCAGAATCTCGGTGGTTTTCTTATGCTTAATTTGTAAAGAGTAATTTGAGGTATGTTAACAACATTGTTCGCTAGTTGGCTGGTGTATCATAAAAAAGCTTCATGGTGTGTTTGAGCTGCTTAGCTGAATTCAATTGAAGTCTTTCGGATTGGTAAAGCCCGAGGCTTTTCTGTTCATTTGCAAATTGTTCTGATTTCATATTTGCAGCATTTTTCATGATGTCTACTAAGTGGAATTTTCAGATAAAAATGCTCTGAAAGGTGTAACGGAAATAAACTTGTGATAATTAGTGAAATACCTTTTTGCCAAGTAATATCAATGGTTAATAGTAAATGAGGGTGCTGGTAGGTTCTTTTTCTTATTTATATTGTCAACCAAGGTTCGAGAAAAACTTTAAAGATTGCCATCACAAAAGATCTGCAAGGATTTCCAATTTCAGCAACTGCAAGTGACAACTCACTCCGTATTAATATGATTGAGCTCGTAAATCCAGAAAATCAACTTAAGATGATATATTGAGAGAGAGAGAGAGAGAGACACTCTGTATGTGGGTAAAACTAATGTTCATGATTTGACCAGATTGTGAACCCTTAGAAAACAACCTAGAGGGTCTACTATAAATAGCTAAAGTCATGTCAGTGTCTTATTTCCTTGTTTTGTGGTCTCAAGGCGGAATGTTTGAAAATGTCTTTCCTTTCTGCACACAACTAGCAATTGCATATTAGACTGTGAACATTCTGATTGACAACTTTTTTTGTAGCTTTAAAGGATTTATCCTTTTGGATTATAACTTGTTTCCAACTCTATGCCTTTCTTGCTTCTCTGTTATTTGAAATGGTTTTCTTCATTTATCCAAGAGCTTAAAATGAAATAAAGAAAGGAAAAATGGTAAGAAAAGGGCTGTTGCAGTCCACAGAGAACCAGGTGGAGTATGTTTTAGTTAAAAGTATATTCATAACTAATTCGCATACTGAATCTTGTATTATTGATCTTATTTTTATATGTTTTATACCATAAAAAATTTAAAGATCATTATTTTTTCCAAAAAGGAAAATGCTATTTAATAATATCATCATGTAAGCTTCAGACTTGTTGGTTGGAGACGTGTTTATCTCCTGAGTTTATTTTTCTGCCTTATAATTGCAAATCTTTTGCGTAACTAATAAAAGCTTTACTTTTCTACAGGAATATGATGACAAGACCGGCACATTTCCAAATTTTAATTTTAACACTTCCCATGATGGCAATTTTGTGGCAATTGCTTCTGAACCTGTATGCCTTGTTGGATTAGACATTGCTAATTGTTCTATTCCCATGAAGGAGTCAGTTGACAAGTTCATTCAGAACTTCCTATCTTACTTCTCAAATTTAGAATGGTCTGACATTATGAAAGCTGACTCCTCTTACGATAAGTTGAATAGGTTCTACAGGTATGATTGACTCTAGATGGTTTTCAGTACTGGGAAACTGTGATGCTAACAGCTAAAAGTAAAGAATGCTGCCTACTAATTGAAAAGAATAAGCCTAAGAAAAAGTTAAATTAATTTGTAATGATAGAAAGGAAGGCTGACAGTTGCTGATAACTTGCAGATACTGGTGTCTGAAGGAAGCATTTGTCAAGGCCATAGGTGTTGGTGTGGGGAAAAGGTTGGACAATGTTGAGTTTCATCATTCTGACTGGAATGACATATTTGTCATTGTTGATGGTAAAGAATTCAACAATTGGAGATTTTGGCTTCTTGAAATGGGAGAAAATCATTTGGTTAGTATCCAGGCATTGATTGTCTTTTCATTTCTGTTCTTGTAATCGTCCTTTTGTAGTAACTTTAAATGGAAAAACTTGCTTAACATTACTGTCATTAACCTTTAACTTGTTTTTGTGTAAATTTATGTGGCACTACTAACGTAGCTATTCAATTGCGACTCCCAACTTTGAAAGACTAGATATGCATCACTATATTCCTATATCGTATTTTTATTGTAATTTTAACAGAGATATGGTTAATGTTATTGTTGTCCTTAACCTCTAATCTTGGTTTGGTTAAGTTGATGTGGCTAGAAAATTGCAGAGAATATCGTTGACTAGATAGGCATCGCTATATTCCTATTATTGTCTCTTTATCATTGAATTATGGAAACAAACTGGTGAATCATTGGCTAAACAATACTCCTCTCTACTTAGAGAAACATATTGGTTCCCATGATTTTGTCCCTCTTCGTCTACTTTTAAGTCATTCAATTTATAGGCATGAAAGCCTACGCTCAAACATCGTGACACCCCATAAAACTGCTGCTGAAAGCTTGTGTTTTGTCGCAGAATAAAGCATTTAGTCTCAAAAGATATTTTCACCAATTTTTTTGCCATCAATCAACATTTTTCATACCTTTTCTTTTAGCTTCATTTGGAAAGTATGTGTCAATTGTCCTGCTCAGTTAACTAATGCATGTATTAATTCCATCTTTGATTTTATTTTCGTTTCACATTACCAAGTGAAACCTTCTGTCAGTTATACAGTTGTTGTTAAATAATTTCCTTGGTCCTTTGTTTCACATTCATGTGGCTGACACCAAGTTGTGTTCCTATGTACTTCAGGTCTCTATTGCCAGGGGTCACCCAGCTACTGCCACCACAAATTACAGAACAACTTTAAAACAGACAGAATTTGGTGAGAAAGAGTACAAACTGGGACTTAATCTTCCGAGTGCACACTTCATGTTCCGAATGGTTGAAGACCTTTTACCAGTCTCCATTGTAGCTTGTCATCACTACATGGACCGGATAGACATAGTTTCTGAAGATGGAGGGTGAAAGGTTCAAATAGCTGCATTGGACAGGAAACGTAATTTTAGTCAATTTGGTTAATTGGCCAGCTCATCTGCAGGACATCACTGGATTAGTCCCTCGGTTGTTGCATTGCACAAGGCAGGTCATCTTGTGTGATTTCGTTGACTAACAATACCAGAGTTCTGGATCCGGTTTTGCAAAGCTCACCCCTACCCTGCAATATGAAACTGCTAGCTTGATGCTATGAATGGTCATAGCTGCTGAGCCACTCGGCACTTGTTCTGAAGGTTAACTTTGCCAGATTAATTCATTGTTACACAAGGAGACATTCAAACTGACCCAACCGTGTACATATTATAGTGCCAAAGTTGACTTCAATGCAGTTGCTGCCCAGTAACTTCATCCATCTTATAATCTTCCTTTACTAGTATTTCTTTGTGCAGAATGATTCTGCCTTGTGTAGTGCACTTGATAACTGATTGCCGTTGCTCAGATGAGGTGTCTACGAACTGGTAATGTTTTGTAAATATACAGCTAAAAACAACAATTTTGGAAGTAAAAGTTCTTGCAGTCTGGCTATTTGTGCGTCAGTGATCATTAGGTAGTCGACCTACCCCAAAAAAAAAAAAACGAAAGGTTATACTGGCTGTGATTTTACCATGTCCAGAACTGTGGAAAAGCTTTGCACGTGAATCTCTTTCGAAACGTAGAGAAGGCAACCATCCCTTGTCAATCTTAATAGGGTTCGCAGATTGAAAAAGTGATGTGTTTGCAGGAAAATCTGTGAAGAATATAAAATATGAATGGAGACGCAATAAGTAGCTTCAATACTTTCCTCAAATATAGAACTTATTAAAGCATAAAGAAGCCAGGATTGGAGAGCTCTAGTTGATCCAATTCAAGATGGCTTTGTGTAAAATTAGCTGCAGTAAACTGACAACATAGAAGCTTCCCTGAAATCTGACCAATTAAGAAATATTGAACAAGAACGCATGCAGGAGAGAGGAGTGTAGGATTGGATGGCAACAACCCTCTCATTGTACATATTTTGTCAGCCAACGTTTCAAAACTGCCAAAATCCTCCTAGAGAAAGATTCAGTTAGCATTCTCCAGATTCACTTTATTTAAGTAGCTAAGCCTTGGTACGGGCAGAACTGCAGCTTTCGACAGGATGGTGACAGAGCGGGTGAGTAGCAAGGGCAGTCCAGATGCAAAAGCCGTTAAATTTGACTCACCAAATGCATTTACATATGCCACATGAAATCCAGTAACACGGGAGAGCAAATTCTTTGTAGATCTGGAAGAGTCAAAATAATGCTCTTGACTATGGCACCATAACGCTGTTTAAGAGATGCCTAGCTGCCAAGCAGTGGCGGCATAACAACCACGAGAGAAGATTGATACCTGAGCGCAACGATGAAGTGTTTTAAGAGCCCAGTAAAAGCAAAGAGATGCCTAGTATGGAATAATCGTGACAAGCACTAAGTTACTTAAGCGGGAATTGCATTTGTTCAGATGCAGATCCTCGGAAGAATTTGTGGAGCAGCGGCCAACTACAGTAAAGTTGCTTACATGGACCGGCTAATTGATTAGAATATAGGTGTAAAAAAGAAAAGTCAGACACTTACTTGCGAACACTTGCGGATCTGACAGAGTCCATGTATAAAACTATGGGTACCGGGCTGAGTCCATGTATAAAACTATGGGTACCGGGCTGTCTCAGCCCGGCACCTGACAGAATTTTTTTTTTTTTAAACATGTCAGGTGCCGGGCTGTCTCAGCCCTGACACATTGTTTTTTTGAAAAAAGATGTCAAGTGCCGGGCTGTGTCAACCCCGCACCTGACATTCACTCAATTGAGTGAATTGCAATTCACTTTATTTGTTAAGCTAGTTGATAAATGCAATTCACTTTAATTGGTTTAGTGAATTAATTAGTTTAATTAATTGAGTGAATTAATTTTAAGAGATTCGATTAAATGCATTTAATTAAGATGATGAATTAGGTTTAATTTGTTATTTATTAAATATTCATTTATTTGTTATAAATGATTTAATTATTTAATTATAATGCATTATTTGTTGTTATTTAATTACACTTTATTTGTTGCTATTTGTTATACTATTTGTTATTATTCGTTGTTATTTAATTACCCTTTATTTGTTGTTATTTGTTATATTATTTGTTATTATTCCTTATAATTATAGAATCGCACCTGACAGGAAATTTTTTTTTAAAAATCTATCAGGTGTCGGATTGTGTTAGCCCGGTACCTGATCGAATTTTTCTGAAAAATAAAAAAAATTAATAAGTCTACCAAACAAAATATGCCGAGTAACAAAAAATTCTTAGTGAAACTTTCCCACTAGAATTCAAATCACTTGACTTGAAATACAATTCTCTAGTATTCATATTCTTTTAATTTTGAATTTTCCTATTTCATTTATAGCTTCTCATTTTATTCTCAAGAAAATATCGTAAGGCTGAAAATGTGATATGATTAGTAATTATCAATCGCAATTTGTGACACGTTGCATCATGCAAAAGATCAAAACCCTAAACCCTAAACCCTAAACACTAAACCCTAAACCTAAAAACCCTAATCCCTAATCCCTAAAGCCTAAAGCCTAAACCCTAAAACCCTAAACCCTAAAGATCAAAACCCTAAACCCAAAACCCTAAACCCTAACCCTAACCCTAAACCCTAAACATTTTAGATTTTGTATTCATTCTCGTGTTGGTACTTATATTGAAATTTTGCATTTTACCAATTGAACATAATGCATACTAATAGAACATCTATTTAAGTTCTGAATTTTTTTCGTAGTTTGTATTGTGAGGATAATTTCATAAATCTCCCATACAAAAAAAAAAAATCAAAAAACCAAAACAAGAAAAAAAGTTTAATAAAAAGCTGAGTCGACCTGAAGTACTAAATACTTTGAAATTTAAGTTAATTAATTTACATTTCAAAGTTGAAACGTAAGAAAAAGAAGAACATAGATTTGTGCAAAATCACTAATTACTCCTATAGGATGTTAAACTACGAAAATGTTTTTCAAACAAAATATACCATTCATTTTGTAATAAGATGTAGTTCTCAAATTGTTGAGAAATAATTTGTTAGAATTTTTATGTAATTTTTAATGTTCACTATAATTTTATAAAACTAAATTTATTGTGCAATATATAAAAAAAGGACCAAAAAAAGAGGAAAAAATGCATAGCGTGACAACGGTGAAATGGCTAAATATAAAAATAACGATAAGCATTCAAATAATAAAAGGCTAAATTCCCATATTATAATATTTGATATTTAGCAAACATGTAATGAAGATTGTATATTTTGTCTACCCAGAAGATTCCGATCTAAACCCAGAAGATTACATATTTTGTCTACCAAATCATCATAACCTACCATCTCTATAAGGAACAACACTTGTTTCGGTATAGAAGGATCATATGAAATTAACCCTCCTTCGTTTATAATTTTTCCACCCCAATATACTTGAATCACCAAGCAATTATCACTTGACATGTTATACCTATTAGAGACGAGTGTTGATAGCATTTTAGAACCTCATTAATATGCTTATTTGAATAATTAATTAATTGAATCAAATATATATAATTTATAACAAATAAATAAATAATTGCGATTATATAATTATAAGAAATAATAACAAATAATATAACAAATAACAACAAATAAAGGGTAATTAAATAACAACGAATAATAACAAATAGTATAACAAATAACAACAAATAAAGTGTAATTAAATAACAACAAATAATGCATTATAATTAAATAATTAAATCATTTATAACAAATAAATGAATATTTAATAAATAACAAATTAAACCTAATTCATCACCTTAATTAAATGCATTTAATCGAATCTCTTAAAATTAATTTACTCAATTAATTAAACTAATTAATTCACTAAACCAATTAAAGTGAATTGCATTTATCAACTAACTTAACAAATAAAGTGAATTGCAATTCACTCAATTGAGTGAATGTTCACTCAATTCAATTGAGTGAATGTCAGGTGCCGGGCACTTGACATCTTTTTTCAAAAAAACAATGTGTCAGGTGCCGGGCTGAGACAGCCCCGCACCTGACATGTTTAAAAAAAAAAAATTCTGTCAGGTATAGTTTTATACACGACTCTGTCAGATCCACAAGTGTCTGACTTTTTCTTTTTACACCTATATTCTAATCAATTAGCCCACATGGACCAGAGCGCAAAAATAAACATCTCTTGAAAATCAATCACAAGCAAACAACCGCTGCACAGGTTTCACTAAAATCAAGCGCAGGACAGATCAACCATCCTCGAACAATATATCACTTTTTTTGAACATTTTGCAATTCTAGATAAACTGCTCGCACATTCTTACTTTTCAACAGTTTGTAATTCTACATAAATTGCTTGTACCCTATCAAAATAAATAAATAAATAAATTGTTCGTACGTTCCTACAACAGAGGTATAATATTCTACTATTATTCATATGAATCTTATACATAATAATTGCATCTTTATTGTAAAATTTTACAAGTAATTTACGTAAAATTACATCCCATTCAAAAAAGTATACATCATCCATGCCCCCTCGTCCAATAAAATCGCACCTGCGAATCCATTTAGAATCTAATGGTGCTGACTGCATTTTCAAAACTGCCTCTTAAAATTTCAATGCTTGAGAAAGGAAAAATAGTCCTGTATAATTCAAAAATAATGGGGATTTCCCGCTAATTATGCTCATAATTATACAAAAAGAATGGCCAATAATTACAAATGCCAACTGGCCAGGACATAGCTTAAACTAGCAGTAAACCCCCCGCCCCCCTCCTCTCTTCCTTTTTTTTCTCCCCGGCCCCCAAAAAACAATGTAACAAGAGTATCTTACATCTAAACAGTTAAATAATCCACAAGAATGTACAACGATACTGCCCCTAAAACATCAACTCTGAAAGGTCATCCATAGGTATGTCAAGGCCCACAGCATCATGGTCTTGTAAACCATCATCCTCAAAGTTAAACCAAGAATTGAAGTCCTGATTTCCTCCAATGTCAGGTCCTACACCTAGTTCTTCCATCGGGAGATCTATATCATTCAGCGGCATATTTGCAAACTCAAGAGATTCCTTTTTCTCCTTCACTGAATCCGGAGGACCATTACCGGGGGAAATCAAACCAACCTCTCTTTTTCTATTTCCACTATTGTTCATCAATTCACCAGAGCCACCAGTTGAAGATGGATAGACTGGATTCATGAATCCATTTCCAGATGTAGAAAGTTGAGCTGTTTTCTGTTTGGGCTTTGTTTTTGTCTTCCGCTCACCCTTAGAGTTACCCAGAGATGAGCGGCCAGCTTTGGTAATACTGTTACGCACAGAAGCATCTCTCTCACTTCTCTTTCCCTTTGCACCACCCAAAAGGCTACTCCCAAGTGATGTGGTTCTAATGGCAGCACCACCAACATCATCAAGCAATACTTCTTTTTTCTTCCCTCTGTTCAAAATAGGCCCATTCTTTGCAAAAGCTTGTTCAGACTGATGACTGTAATTGT